AAAAATTTCAATTTGGCATTAGTAACTAACGGTAGTGTCATGAACTTCCTGCGACAAACATTCAACGTTACGAAACAGTTGTCACAAAAAGGTTTGTATGATATGGAACATTCGGCCAGAATTCGGCTGGATCGCCTTCCTACACAATTGACTATACTACTTAATCAACTATGTATTAAGTATTTTATTAACTATGCATTGACATTATTTTATCTAGTGCTCAACATCAACCTGCTGCAGTCTATCCAAAGTGGGAGCCTTTCCGAACCGGTCTGCCGCATGGCCTCGCTAAACCAAATGCATCGCACTGGCCCACACTATAAAACGCGACCACCGCGGCAACCGCTAGATGGAAAACCTTTCGCCAAGGGCGTTGTGCTGAAGACACTCATCAAGAAGCCGAAGAAGCCCAATTCGGCGAATCGTAAATGTGTGCTAGTGCGCTTATCAACAGGCAAGGAAATGGTCGCTTATATACCTGGAGAAGGGCATAACTTACAAGAGCATAACATTGTGCTATGTCGTGTAGGACGTTGTCAGGATGTACCTGGTGTAAAATTAAAATGTGTGCGCGGCGTTTATGATTTGCCGCATGTTATCAAGAAGTAGCGTTAAGAGATTGAAGCTATTTCGTTGAAATTATTGAGTGTATATAAATAAAGAAACAAAATAAAAATATCCTTTAACAAAGTAAACTGTGGCACACTTTTGTTTGAAATACATATGCACGTGGAAATGGATATACATATAACCCTTTTGCTGTGCAAGTATGCACTTCGAATGAGTTGGCGTTTTTCGCGCATCAATTTTGCCGCTTTATTGTTTGCCTTTTTTCTTTGGTGGCGGCTGCTAAGTATTTTCTATAGGGGCTTGCCATTATTTATTTATGTTTATCGTGTGTTGATTTCAATATCCAAGAGATTTATTTACCGCGCGTGCCAGGCATGCGCTCCAATCAGTGGGGACAGAAGGATTGTGAAGCAATTATAAGGATGATGGAGCAAATTTTTGAAAAATACTTAATGGAAATCAATAGCGGTCGATGCGAGGCCCGTAATAAAATCCATACATGTATAATTATGTACATACCTACATATGTGCAAGGAATGTTATAGGTTCTTCTGCAAATGCAAGAGAAACATTTACGCTGTAGTAAATACATGAAAACGTGCACACAAGCGCGTTTTATGCTACAACTTTTATAAAGCAAACGTTAATACTGTTCCCACCTTTGCTATGCGCACACCTGCACGAATGTGCACACTTTTTTCGATACCTATAAGCCGGTATAGATGAACATACGTTATAGCCATTTAGTTAGCTAAAATTAATCCATATTTTTGCCAACAGTCGCAATTTTGATGGCAAAAATATCCACAAAACTATAGGTGCATATGTACATATGTATGTGTGTGCAATATGCATTTTTGCTCTTTTAGGGATTATTGACCAATGGTTTCCTGATGTCCTGCCATTGTTTTGCATTGTGTGTCTAACCTTTTGTACACATTCGTCGCAATGACAAGCGGAAAAAGGCAACTGATTAAAGCCTTTTGTGTGTAGGTGCACGGACAAAATTGTCCATAGTAGGTACATACATATGCACGTACGAATAACTAAATGCATTTAAATACATATGTTGGATTAGTGCGTACTTACACACATTTGTAAACTTGGACGATGGAAATTGCAGTGGGCATGCTGTAGGCCAAACCTTTATTGCGGTTTCTAAAAACACCTTTTTAACATACACTAATTTGTTTTAAAACACACTATTCCAACAAGTTATAGTAATTATTTTCATTAAAATTGACGACTATGATTTCAATTTCCGTTTAGACAACTTTCCATTGCTTCCGCGTTGGTTACAATTTTCTAGCGAAGGGTTTTTTAGCTGTTGTTAGGATGTGTAACTATCGATTGTTTTACGTCACAAAAACTGATGTACATTTTAAGTATTTTTGTTTACCACATGTCTAAGCAAACACTAGGGGTCTTCATCAAAAGCGATAAACTCTTGATAAAGTGGTAAATTTATCATTTTGATACATTTTTGATTTATCATTTTATCAAACAACTTTGAATTTTTCAGAAAAATTCAACCCATACAGGTTGCCATGTACTCGCTTTTGTTACGAACACATAAAGCAAACGATGACAATGGATGAGGTAAGAATGAGACGCAATTAGCCATATAAGTTAAATAATAAACAGTTTTATGCAATTATTTACCAAGGTGCGTTCATGAAAGAAGGCGGATAAACTGAAAAATTTAAGCAATTTATCACTTTATCACTTTAGATGAAGACCCCTAATATTTTGATTTTTTTTTTGTCTTAATTTATTCNATTTTTTCTAAATGTTGTATATAGCTTGAATTCTTGATTTTGATGGATTTGGTTAAAGCGCAAACAATATTCTTATACAAACGAAAGTAGACAAAATATTTTTGTTTGAAAAACATTGTGAATATTAAAAAAAATATAACCAATCGGTTTTTGAGTCGCCGTATTTGTCTATAATAACTCCAGTTTTATTTTTTATCTAACTTGCCCTCATTCACCAGTCATCCGAAAGCCTGTGCTGCTAGTGCTGTGTTTTATGGTTTATATAATTATTATTATTGTCATGTAAGCGTTTTATAAAATAAATAAATACAATCATTAGTTAAATGTAAAGTTACAATAACTAAAAAAAGTTATTGGTAGATATTTTCCATATTTCGTACATTTTTTTCAAGTGGATGATAAGTATTTTTTTTCGTCAGTGGCAACCCTGGATGTATGTGTATTATTATCACAATTTTTTCGCTTTTCAGTAGGCTTAGATTTTTCGTAGGCTTAGATTTTTCTTGCAAAAAATCTTTTAACAAGTTCAGTTATTCATGCAGGTTCTGTAATTTACTTCCGCATGAAAATGACCAAGTTCACGTCCTATCCAAGTTTTGGTGTTCTTTAATTCTCGTTTTAATGTCAAATGCACATAAATAATTTTTTTCGTTTTCAACATCACTTTCAAATAAATGAAGGCCTCGCCAGAAGGAAATTCTTTTCTGCGTTTAGGGATGCGTTTGGCTGACATCGAAGTTAACGCATGCATTGCCGCAACTGATAAAAATCGCCCAACTCTCAACTTTTGACACGCGTCAATGAGGCATAACAACAATGTATGAAACGAATTCAAACCAGCTGCATTTGGCCAATCAAAATGAGCCGTTTTATTTGCAGCAACGTTTTCATTGTGCCGCTCGCCATGTTATCAAATGGATCTCTGTGACGCAGAAAAGAATTTCTATTTGGCGGGGCCTTGAGAAAAAATCTCGGGATGCCGGATCTGTAAGCCCGGGATTGCGGTACCTGGAAAAGTGTCCGGCACTCTGGATCCATGGATCAGGCAAATCCGCCGTTTTGCTGAAACGCATTAATTCATTACTTTTAAGTCCATGAAATCACCGATAGCAGTAAAAATAGCTGTCCTAAAAAAATCCACTTTCACTCTGGCGTATACCAATGCTGTAGATATTCATCATTACGCCGCTCCAACTGCTAATGACCCATATTTACTCTCCAACTTCCCATTTTTTAATGCTTTTCACTTCAATAATGCAAACAAAAATATCCGGTTTGCAAAATATTTAGACACTAGTACTTACATAGCAAAGGATATCAAAGGACAATCTTTCTGCCGCAATGCACAAGGTAACACAGCTGCAACGTCTCGACTACTTTATAGAGTTATAACCTGCCGTAGTGTAGTTTACAATTTGCCTTCATTAAGATATTATTTACATTCATTATTTTGTGGCCATTTCTTCCTCGAGTCGAGTCTCGCCTTTATGCTTGCCGCTCTCCATTTGCGGATTACCGCATTCATGCATTGTCTATTAGAACTGCCTCTTTTGCCGTTTGCAGTTCATAATACGCATTGTTAGGCAGTCAGGCGCAACAATGAGGCAAACATTTGTTGGCTCAAGACAATTTTTTTTTGTGAATACTTCTTTTCTGTGCTGTGGGTTTTTCTTTCGAGCATCACTTCACCTAGCTGAAGTATAAAGTTTTAAACCACAAAGTGGTTAATTGGCATTTCGTCGACTTATTGCCGAAAAAATGTTGCTAATGATATTTAGAGATATGACTGACTGCGCAAAGGGAAGAGTGGTGTACAGGATGTAAGTATTTAGTATAAAAATCGTGCAATATGATGTTTCCGGTGAAAAGGAAAAGATTAAAAAATTTTGAAAGGAATTTAAACAATTTAATATGTACTTTTAGTTTAGCTTATGTTGAGTTTGTGGAACCGTTTAAGGGTTATTCTAGGCCAAATACCTTCTTACAGTTAAAACTCTTTCTTTGCTTAAAACTTACACTTACGTATTGCATTTTATTTGTGAACGATCTATAAAACATATTGTCATATTTCGACTCTGTATAAAGCCGTGGCTTTTTTTATTTTTTGTAGTAAATCCCTATTTCGAAGGCATACCAAAGAACATTTTTTTTTCTAAAACTAGCCATCAACTGTCTGGTCTGTCTTATACAATCAAAATCTGCAATAACCCTTACATNTCTAAAACTAGCCAGCAACTGTCTGGTCTGTCTTATACAATCAAAATCTGCAATAACCCTTACATTTCATTTAGAAATTTTTCTTCTTAATTTCCACCCTCGAAACGTCCAACGATAAATATGTCANCTGGTCTGTCTTATACAATCAAAATCTGCAATAACCCTTACATTTCATTTAGAAATTTTTCTTCTTAATTTCCACCCTCGAAACGTCCAACGATAAATATGTCAGAACAGAAATAAATAAAATTGATGGACAGCAGTAGGAGACAACAAAAGTGGTCACTGTACATTGGAATAAGCGCCGGTCTGAAACCTTCTTCTAATGTCATAGCGACCGAAAAACACAAATGGACCACACACATACACACACATGTACAAACATACTAATGGTATACTCAAAGCTAAAAAGGGTTGCACCCGCATCCGCATGTGCAAGATTAACAAAACCAAAGTGAAATGAGATAAAAATAACAGCAAATCACTCGTCTAAAATTGAACAGCGGCTATGGTTAGCTATAGCATTAAGCGATGCGCAACCCTTTTGCAAAACGCAATCCATTTAATTTGCACAATGTCAAGCAACTTTAATATTACGAACTCTAGAACTGCTGACACATTTATGTACAGTTTCGAAGTTGTACATACGTACATACATATGTACACCCACAACTGAATGATATTCAAAGCACAGCTGTACAAAATCTCTGTGACCACAAATTCACACATTTATCTTTACACACTTGCTTTAAGCGGAAATTGATTTTCGTTCATACTCAAAATGAAGTTTCTTTAATCAGGGTCTGGGTCTGGGTGATTCCATGGCACGGGTGTTGCCAGAAAGTTGTAAATAAAAATGCTATATGAGCTTTAAACTAGAAAAGATATAAGCTACTAAAAAAAAAGTTAGAAAAAGCAAATATTTTTTTATTTTCTGCTATATTTTATACTGCAAATAGTATGTTACAAACAATTTAATTTTATTTTCTTCACACTGCATCTTTGACATATTTTTTATTCCGAGCTATATCTCAGAAAAGAGTTTATGTTCGTCTTCTCCTAATGAAACTGAAGAATTTTTGTATAAGTACATCACTTGATCTATGATTTTTAAGATATCAGTAAGAATT